CTTTTAGTTCGAGCAAAACCTTCAAAATGGCACGTCGACCTAATTTTAAACAATGATATTAATGTTTAATGTCTAATGCATGCTAAATTCCACAATTTGCCCTTTTTAAGGAATTCAACTCCCTCGAAGAAACAATTATTGCATTATTTCGTCGATCATTATCATATCCATGGTATCGAAATTTTGAATTATCAGAAAAGTGTCTTGACGACGTATATGTTCTTTTAAAATTAGGTCGACGTGCCATTTTGAAGGTTTTGCTCGAACTAAAAGATATATTTGATCACCACGATATTTATTACGTATACTCCAAGATATGGCTTGATGATTATTGTATTTGGTGTCAAACTAAAGCCAAGTATGTTATACATAATATGTATAAAATTTTGAATATTATTCACTTTCTAAGCTGCTTAATATTTCAGTGATAAGGTTATTCGATTATTAGCACATAATGTTCATCATTTCAAGGTGCCAAAACCTAAAATGGGATGGCATCTTGAGGAGTATGAACAATTAGCATTAGAAGATCAATGTGAAAATTAATGATTACATTTATGAGAGGTATGTAATAATATTACGACAGGGTGAACCCGTGCAGCTAGCTAGTGAAATTCGCGTTGATTAGCTGTATAAGGTAAAACCTGAGATGACAATGTAAAATCCGCGCGTCAATCATTTAAAACAGATGAAATTCGCTTTTACAGTATTAAATATGTTAAACCTGCAGTTTTAAATATGTAAACTCGCTTTTAAATAGGTAAAACCCGCTTTTAACTTTGTAAAAACCACTTTTAAATATACAAAATCGAATATGATCTTGATTTTGAGCGAAGGTATCTTAGTAACCACTTGATCAAATTTGATGAAATTTTTTTAATTTTATGGATTTATGAATTAAAATAAAATTTTTATTGAATTTGATTAGATGATTGTTAAAATATCTTTGTTTAAAGTTTTTTAAAAAAATTAGATTATTTATTGTTAGTAAAGTTGTGTTAATTTTTTTTTTAAATTTTAAAGATATTTTTTTATTTAAATTTTATAGATTTATAGAATTTTAATAAAAAAAATTTTTTACAAGCAGCAAATTATACAGGGGGGTAGCATATTATTGTGAACACTTTTTGAACTTAAATTGTTCAAAATCGGGTAAGTAAATGCAGCACGAAATTTATATCACGTGAACGGCAAATCCCGTGGTGCAACATACTAAAATTTCGTGCAATTTCATTAGATCGCGCAGAAATTATGCCAAAAAATAAAAATTTTCGATTTTTTTATTCATATGAAACCTTAAATTTTATATTTTATTATTTTTTTTTTTACAATTTTTTTTTAACAAAAAAAAAACCAATTATAGATTAATAATCTATAGGTTCCCCAGCTTCGACACAAGCATCAGCCTGATTGGGCATACTAATGATCAATCGATGGCACAGTTCTAGTGGTATATTACGCCACACTCTCTTAATGAGAACATCCAGCTTTTCAAGATTACCCGGACTTTTCTTGTAGCATACAGATTTCTTTACTTCAGCCCACAGGTTTTCGATTGGATTCAGGTTTGGGTTTTGTGGGGCCACTCCATTACACGAACCTGGTTTTTAACCAAAAGCTCCATCGCAATATCATCCTTGTGGGTCTTGCATTATCTTGGACAAAGTATGATTGACCATGATCACTATTTGCCGGAAATTTTTTATAGTGGGGAGGGTGTATTTCCAGATAATCTCAAGGTGTAATGCACTATTGGTATTAGATTTTAACACAACAAGGGGCCTGACCCGAACTACGAGAAACAGCCCCAATATATACGCCCTGGGCTTCACTTGACAGTAGGGTCTATACAATCTATTTCCTATTTTTCATGTAGTTCTCTTCATACATGGTCAAGAGAACCTTGGAAGACACGGATATACGTCTCATCTGACTACAACACATGCTTGAAGTGCGAACAAACTACTCCTAGTGTTTAAGTGCCCATTCATACCTTTTTTTTTTATTCATTTCAGAGATGAGCGGCTTCGGAGGACAACACATGAGGACAAGTTAATGTCATGCAAAGCACGATGCACAGTACATTCCGAGATTGTTTTTTCAGCTTGGTAGTTGTAGAGGTTCATTATTTGGGTAAGACTAAGACGGCGATTGCCGTTGGTAACTAAGTCTTTCAGGTCTTCATGTTTAGCAGGGGTTAGAGTTTTTGAATGACCAGGTCTTTTTTTTTTTTTTGCGCTTCCGTACCCACCTTACTGTACTTCTTTACTATATTCAACACAGCGGATTTACCGCACCCAACTGCAGCTGCAATAGTATGGAGTGAATCTCTACGCTGGTAACTGTAGATTATCGCTCCTCTTTGACTTTCGCTTAAGTCTTTCTTTGTGCCATTTTTCGTAAAAAAAAAAATAAAGTTGATCTTTTTTTTAATTTATGCCGATCCATCATACAAATAAACAATTTTTTATATAGTGTCACGTTACCTGGGTGTCACGCTACATTTGAGCGAAATTTGATGCTATTTGAACAACAATTTGATTTTTTACAATCTGTAAAACTGATCTTTGTATGTATCCAAAAATGGTATTTCGTCCTATCTTTTGTATTATTTCTGCATGATCTAACGAAATTGCACGAAATTTTAGTATGTTGCACCACAAGATTTGCCAATCACATAATATAAATTTTGTACTGTACTTACTTACCTGATTTCGAACAATTAAAGTTCAAAAAGTGTTCATAATAATATGCTACCCTGTATATAACTTTTATTTTATGTGATAAAACTATTTGATATAATTAAATTATATCTTCAAAAATTTTTTGTAGATTGTATGTATTATTTAATTTAGCAATCATTTTATTATTAAAAGTAACTTTTGTATGCTTCTAAGTAATATAATAGATTATGAATACCAAGTTATTATAGATTTTATTACAATATACCACAAATAGTATGGTGCTCCAAGTTACTTCACATTAAATACGCCAAATTTGAGATATATACAAATACTTTTTAGCCAATCAGAATACGTTATATACTAATTCTGATTGGATAAAAAAAAATTTAAAAAATTTTTTTTAAAATTTTTTATATTAAATACCAAATTTTTGAAAACATAGTAGCTTTAAACACTTATAACTTTAAATCTTAAATTTTTTAAAAAATTCTAACCGATAATTTGGATAGAACTAATAAAAAACAATAGTTTTTATCAGTTATATTTTTAAAAAATATTTAAAACTTAAGGTTTTATAGATTTTTTAAAAAATACATGATTTTTGATGAGAAGTGACTTGGAGCACCATATTTATTTGTTGTGTTTGTTTATTTATATAGTTTTTTGTTCATACCTTGGCTTTTTCTAATCTCTTAAGCTTTTTTTTATTGATTGTTACTGAATATTATATGTGACTTGCTGTTTTTTTATTGTTAATAGTTGTTGTTGTTGTTTGTTGTCTTTGTTTATTCTTTTTGTTCATCTTGGTTATATTAAACTCAACTATAATACTGCATATTTTTTCTTGTATAATAAATATAGCTAAGTTTTTTTTATTATTTATTGTTACTTCTTAGTTATAATTGTTTATTTTCCTAAGTACAAGTTTTGTATAGTTAGTTTCATATTATCTATATTGCTAAAGTTCTTCCTGAAAAGCTTTTATTTTTATCTCTGCTTTTTCTTTTGTAATATTTTTTTGAAACATTTTGTTAAGTTTTGCTTTATATAACTAGTTGTTTTTCTGTTATTGTTAATTGTTATTGTTATTCATTGCAATTATTTATTATTTTTGTTATATTCATCATATGGTTTTTGGTATATTTTCTTTATTTATTCTTTATTATGTGTTGTGATTCTTGTATTACCAAAACAGATCTGCATTACAGAGTTAAAACTGATTTTTTAAAAATTCACAAAGTATAAAAAATATCAATTTTTTATATTTTTTTTTATCTCTTTGTTACTTCTGTTCTTCTTATTCAAGTTTCTTAAAAAACTAAATATTTCTTGTACAATAGTTCTTTTTCTTTTTTTTAAAAACTTCAAGTCTGGTTTTTTAGTAGTTTTTGTATATTTTTTGTAGTTTTTATTAATTTTTGTTTTTGTAAATTTGTATTTGAAGAATTAGTAAAAAAGTTTTTTGATTATATTTAATCTATTAATATCTAGTTGATTTTTATTGCAAATAGTTTTTTGTAAATATTTTATATTTTAGTAATTTAAATTTAATAATTTTAATACTATTCAAATTGTTTTGTTAAGATAAATCATAAATATCTTTTTCAAAATACTAAATTACTATAGAAATATAGTAATTTATTAAGAAAAATTACTTTTATTAATAGAAAAGTATTTTCTTTTATAAAATAGATATTTTTTGATATTGAATGAGTATTTTCAAATAGTAGATACCATATATTACTGAATAGAAGCTACCAAAATTTTGAGTATTTTTTGGACTAAAAAGAGGGAGTAGCTTCTATTCGGGTCCAATTTTATTATTAAAACATAATAATTTCCTCCAAATTTTTAATTCAAAATCAAGGAGGTAGTTTTTATTTGAGGGTAGCTTCTATTTGGTAATATACGGTAAGTATTTTAAAATGATTAATATAGTAAATTATATATCTTTTATTAAGGAATAAATACTTTTCCTTATAGAATAAATACCTTTTACTATAGTATGAGTACTTCTTACTATAGTAAAGGCATCTTTTAATATAGTAAGGACACTTTTGTCAATTTGGGTTTATTTGTCTTTTTTATAATTAATATTGTTGTTATATCATTCTAGACTATTCTAAAATACTATTTGTATTTATATATCTTAACCTAGATTCTGTTTATATTAAACAAATTTATAATTTAAATAACTAAATAACTATTGTTTTAAATAGAATTTTGTGAAAACTATCCTAATAAAATTAATAATAAACTATTATTTAAGCAACTAAAATAAATAAAATATATTATAAACTATATAAATAAACTAATAAAACTATAAAATATATAATAGTAATATAAAATATATAAAAAAAATAGTTAATAAAATTTGACTAATAAAAATCAACTAATCAAAAATTAAAACAACAACTCTTTTCACTAATTCTCTGAATACAAATTCATCATAAACAAAATTAACAAAACATATATTTTACTAAAGAAAATACAGTTTATAGTACTAAATAAAGAGAAAGAACACACAAAATAATATCTAGTCTTTTAAGAAATAAAGATTGAAAAGTCAAAGCTTTGGATAAAAAAGAAAAAATAGCAAAGGACTAATAAAATTTTATCCTTTGCAAGCAATTTTTTGGAAATTGCACTTGACTCTGTACTGTGATCTATTATTGTTATACAAATAGAATATATATTTAGAAATAAACAAAACAATCTAATTACAGATTATATAACAGATATAAATAGAGAAATAGCATCTAAGAAGTTAGATATTAAAGAAAAAGAAGATTTTAGAAAATAAACCAAAATTGCAGAAATAGTAGATAAATCAATAGAAAATTATTTGAAAAAACTTGAGTT